AACGCGCGTACGCGTTGAGTGCGCTGCGGCGGTACAGCGCGTACGTCTCCACCTCACGCAGCCACTCCTGCTCCTCGCGAACCGTCTCCACCTTAATGGCGCGAATGCGGCTCATCAGAATCTTGTCCTCCGCTTCGCTCAGCCCACTCGCCGCCCTCTGCTGCTCCAGCTCCACACGGGTGCGGCGCGAGGCCTCAATGCTCTCCCGCAGTGTGCGATACTCCGCGCTGCGAAGGCGGGCGGCAATGTCGCGCGCCAGCATGTGGCACAGCCTCGCCAGCTCCAGTGCACACCCACCACTGCGATCGGTGCTGACACACGACGTGAGGAACGGATCCCGCACGAGCTGCGAGAGCGGCGCCAGACGGGCCTCCTTTGCCCACGCCACAAGCTGCTGCACAATGATCGGCAGCGGCGCAGACTCGGCCGGCATCGGGGGAGGAAGAAGACTACTTGTGCCAGTGACAGACGAAGACAACAATGATGCTGCAGCTGCAGTTGCTGCTGCTCGGGCATCGGGCGCCTTTTTGGCCGCCACGGTGTCCTGGAGAATTGCAATGGCGCGATGCGGGTAGCCGCTGGCGAACTCCACACGCGCGTGCAGAAGCGCAAGAAACGCGGCAGCTGGCAGTCCTTTGGGCGTTGTTGTCTCCCAGAGAGACCCACCACACTCCCCTGCTGTCATGTTACTCTTGTTGGAGGTGGAGCCACTGCTGCCGACCTCCACAAAGGCCCGAGTGCATGCAGAGAGCCACTGCTGCACGAGTAACGGCCGCTTGCCACGCAGCGCACGCTCACTGCACTCTTCCAAGTGTGCCAGCCACCACTGTGGCTGACGGTACGCAACGCACAGCTGCTGCTGCACGCTGTCGAGCAGCTCCACCTCGCCATAAGGCGCGTGGACACGCGAGAGCGACGCATGCACCCACGACGGCGGTGGGGGCGGGGGAAAGTGCACCCGCATGGCGCGCTCCGTGCACTCCTCAACGTTACGCAGCGCTTCCGCCTGCAGCACAGTGCGGTACCAGTTAGTCGCTTCAAGCATCCGCCCCAGTTGCTGCTGCGCCCGCGTTGACCAGCACCGCGCTTCGTGCTGATCGCCGCGCCACAAGCAACGCAACGCGAAGAAGATGCCTTCGTCAACCGAAAGAGGTGATGGAAAGCATAGTTCCTGGGGCTGCCGCCGCTGCTGCTCTTCATCCTCCATGCATTCAGCGTCCCAGCGACCGCAGCGCCACAACGCACCCGCCAACGCGGCACGCAACTGTGCCGACGCTTCCTCCTCATCATAGCCTTGCAAGTTCCCCTCAGAGCTGCTCCGGTTATTGCCATCAACGCCACATGCAAACCGCGGGGCGTGAGACTTCTGCTTCACTGCAGTGGTAAGAATCTGCAGCGCGGTGTCCACAGCACCTAGCTGCATCAATGCATTTGACTTCTCCAGAGCAAGACGTGTCTTTGAAAGACCGCCACCGCCGGCGCACTCAAGACGGTCCAACAGCACGAGCACCGCCTGCCAATTCCCCCGGTTCTTTTCGCGTTCAATGCGACGCATGGGGTGCCGCAGAAAAAACGCCTCTTCCCAAGGTGTTGTGTAGGCATCCACCACATCGCCGCTGCCTGTCGGTGGCGGCTGTGAACTGCCAGTACCCAGTGCCGAGTTGCTCTCATCGCCGCCGTCACGTAGTTGCAGCGCGGCTTCAACGTCCACCATAATGGTATGCACAGCGGTGCGGTACGCCAAGAGGATCTGCGTGATCTCCGCGTACGCCTCCTCCCCGCGCATCTTGCGGCCACGGCCATCACTGCCCGGGACACGCAGCGCCGAGGGGAACAGAACCGAGAACTGCTGCTTCCGGTGGCGTTGGTCCCCTGTTGACATAACTCCATCTGCCGCAGCAGCCATCAGAGCGGCCGAAGATGGAATGCCCTTGCGTCGCCCCATCAAAGACTCACCGCTGAGCTCTGTGAAGAGGACCGCGAGGTGCGGCTCGTGGCACGCTACCGCCGCCGCCGCAAGGACGAACGGATTCACATCCGACAACCAATACGACTCACGCATGTCGCACACCTCCGGAATGTCACCATACGCGCTGCACACAAACGGTGGGAACATGGANGACGCCGTAGACGCCATCAGCTCTCTCTCCTGTTTCCGTGCGAGTGGGCGAGTCCCAGAGGCGTCAGGCCGCAGTCCGCGGCTGCGTACCGCCGTCATGAGCACCGACCGGCAAACGTTCAGCGCGCGCAAAAAGAGCCGCGTGACGCGGCGGAAGCGGCGTGCCTCCCGGAAGAGGCAGGTCTCAAGCTCCCGCGACCACGCAGCCCGCTTCGACCGCTGCGACTCACTCTCGCGCAGCAGCATCGCATGCAGCAGCGCAGTGGGAAGAAACCCCTCGCAGAACGCAATGAGGCTACCACCCACGCCGTGTGGGAGGCGCAGCAGAAGGCAGGCGTGCAGAGTGGCGACGGTGCTAAAGCGGTGGTGAAGGCTGTAGTGGCGGATGAGGGCAACAAGGAAGAGACGCAGAAAACGTGTTTCATCCTCGTGCACGCGCAGCGCATCCCACACCACCGCATCGTGCAGAGACGCCACTTGCGACACCACCTCGTCACTACATATGGTGCTCAACGAATTCGGCACATCGAAAAGGCGTCGGCGAAATGCCTCGACATCTGCAAGCCGAACCGACGCGACCACGCCGCCAGCGTCCAGCTGCTGCTGCTGCTGCTGCTCCTCCTTCTTCTCCTCATCCCGTATAAGTTCCAGTGCTCGTTGGATAAGTTCGCCCCCATCACTGGCGCAACGACGGCCCCCTGGCCCAGCCCCACACTCTCTCGCTGCCACAGCCGCACTGCCTGCGTGCTGCTCGGGAGCCGCTTCATCATCCTTCCCGTTATTATCATCACGCTCGGTGACGCTTTTACTGCCGCTGTTGCTGCTGTTGTCGCCGCACAGCCAACCACGCAGTGTTGTGGATGCGATGTGGGCGATACAAGCATCTGTGTCAAACGAGAGGCGATAGAGTTCCTCCACTTGCTGCCGGTAGACGCGATGCAGGACCTCATCAAGCGACCACAGCTGTAGCATCTCCTGCATGGCCCCTGTGGGCGACAGCAGTGCATCGACGCGACCCTCCGCGCCGGCCTCGATGAAGCACCAGCATAGCGCACACAATAGGCGAAAAGCACCCAACTGGGCGTCTCGACTCGTCGCCTGCAATACTGTTGCTGCTGCTGTGGTGTTGGTGGTGGTGGCTGTTATCATCATCGAGGTTATCATCGTCGTCGTCGTTGTCGTCGTCGCCTGCGAGGCGGCATCCGCAGCGTCATCGGCGCACACCAAGGCAAACAAGTGCTGTACTGCTCGACAGCATGCTTCATAGGCCAGTTGCGACGATGCCGAACTGTTTCTTCCAGCCACCCGTGCTGCGGGTCTGGGCTTCCGCTGCTGCTGTTCTTCATTTGTGCAGTGGCGAATGAGCGTGACGAACGCGGAACGAGAGCGGTCCACGGCAGCCGCAACGTCCGTATAAAACGACGACGCGGGCGCACCAGAAACGAGGACAGTATTGCGCAGTAGCGGAAGGATGTCGGCCACACGACGAAGCGCCTCGTTATCGCTGATGGATGTTGTGTCATCCATCCTCTGCTCTTGCTCTTCCTGCTGCTGCTGCTCATCGTCCTCTTCCGGCCCATCATCCACATAGACGACACTGTCTGCGGTGTACTTCGTGTGCTGCATCTGCCAGTCACGCTGCTGCAGTTGGGCGTCGATGCGGCTTATCGCAGCCCATGTGGCCGCCACAACACGCGACTCCTCCGAGAGCGCCAGCATCACTGTAGAGAGGAACGCCTCATCGGTGGCGACGCACCGCTCCGCACCGGACGCCGTCGCCGCAGACCACGCGTACAGAAGCACGTCACACACGCGGGACCGCGCATCCACGCATGTCATGAGAAGATTCCCACACAACCGTAGCACAGTGTGCAGCATGTGCGGCACCCGCTGCAGGAGCTCGCGGCTCCACCAATCCTTCACAATGCACTCAAACAGCAGCACAAGCAGCGCACGACGGGACCCGCGGTGGACATCGTGCGTGAGGGAGACATACAAGCGCTGCAGCAGCACGTACGCGTGGTCACCGGCGTCGCTTGCAAAGAAAGTCTCAACCGCCGACACCTCGCCTAGAAGGGACTGGTGCCCCGCCAGCACTCCCGCTGCTGCCGGCATTGGCTCCACCACCGCATCGGCGTGTGTCGTGGACGCAACGGCCATCTCGCAGAGCATCGCCACCGCGTGCCGCAGTTGCCGCACCTCCACGACCGGCGCCAGTGTGCCGACGAGGTCGACGAAGCGACACAAAATGGCGTCCGCGTTTCGGCGTACAAGTGGGGTGTGGCGCGACGAGAGAGTCGTGCGTAGCCACTCCAACGCAACATGTGCGGCATTGGCAACATCCGGCAACTCCGGCGGCGGCCGATTCCCACCACGCATGCCGCGCCGCTTCGACCCCGTCGCAAAGGCCAGCAGGCGCGCCATTATGTCCGGAAAGTACGCAACGACGCAGTCCACCAGCATCGAAGGAGTACGTGTGGGTTGCACGGTGTTGTTGCCGCTGTCGTCGGCGGCGTTCGCGTGGCACGCAGCCAGTCGCCACAGCAGATCGCTGGGCTGCAGAAACACCGAGACATCCTCCTCACTGCCACGCCGTGCACTGCAAAGCAAGGCGAGCGGGACCAGTGTGGGCATCAGCGCACACCACATATTCCGCTGCTTGCTGTAGCCAAAGCAGGCGATGGGAAATGCCTCCATGGGGTGGCCAAGACGCCACAGCCAGTCAAACAGCAGCCGCTCGCGGTGATAGAAGCATAACTGCTGCGCACTCATCCCATTCCCACCGCCAACACCAACATCTCCTCCTACCGTTGTTACTGCTGCTTCTACTGAAGCAGAGGCATCTCCGACCCTTGTGTAGTCCCCGATGAGGTCGAGGCACTCGAGGATGAGTCCCTTGTGGGCGAAACCGTGCGTGGCCCAGCACTCCAGGAGCGTGCATATGATGTCCGCCTCCATCATGGGCGCTGCATGCGCCGCCTCGCCGAGTGCACGCAGACTTGTGGCACACAGCATTGGACTCGGTGAGGCAATACCCTCGCGGGCGCGGTAGAGCAGCTCGTGCAGAACGGCGGAAGTGCGGTGGGTGAAGCGGTTGAAGAGCCACCGCACGTGCAGCGCCGTGTAGCGCCGCACCACATACGACGTCTTGGTAGAAAGGAAGGAGAAGAGGTATTTACCAAGCTTCTCCGCCACCGAGGCGTCGCAGCGAAACAGCAGGCCGTAAATACTCGACAGCACCGCACACTGCAGCTCCGGGGTCAACGTCGGCATGTCGCTCCGTGATGCGTCGGTGAGTTGATCGACAAACGCCTCGAGGAGTTTTCCCTCCTCGACCAACATACCGCCGCCGCACCCGTCAGACAGTTCTTCACCCCTGCTGGTGCTGCCGCCACCGCCGCGCATGCCCTCTTCCTCATTATCGTCAGCGTGTTGTGCGTCCTTATTCCTCTTGTCATTTTTAGTGCTGCTGAGGGACAACGCGGAGACGCGGCATGGCGGGGCGTAGAAGCGAAAGGTGGCGAAGATGCCCACCGCGATGCCGTGCCGGTAGCGCGCGAAGAGCGTCACCAGGAGAGCACGCACCGCCAGTCGCGCCTGCACGTCGTCGTACGCCTCGTGCAGAACGCGCAGCAGCCCNCCCCGCCACGCCGTCAACAACGGCGAGGGAAAATGGGAGGAACGGGCTCAGCTTCACCACACCACGCAGCGCAGTCGCCTCGGCCAATGCGCCAAGATTATGGCCACCATCGTCCTTGGTGCTGCTGCTGGTGTTGTGGTCGGCGGGCGCGATGAGGCCGTCCTTCTCGAGGACGCCGATGACAACCGCCGAGACGTGGGCGGCGCTGACGAGCGGGTCGGCGGACGCTGCGAGCACACGCGTGCGTCGCACGAGCGCAAGCAGCGCGGCCAGCAGCCTGCAGCAGAGCCACACCGTCGCGTGCACCGCAGTTGCTGCGTCCGTGGATGTCACGTTTGTGGGGCGCCACGCGGAGAGCTTCACGATGCCCTCGTCGAGCACGCGGCGGCAGACGGCGCCAACGAAGGAGAGCACCACCTGCCGCGGCTCCCACAGCGCGAAGGACTGCGACAGCAGCACCACGCCAACGTCGTCGACGAGCACGAGCAGCGCACGTAGCACCGCGCGGTCACGCACAAGCGCGCCACGCAGCAGTCGGGTGGCGAGGTGGCGACAGACCCACATGACGGCGTAGTACAGCCGCCCCTCCGGCGACAAGCGGCGCATCACAGTGGCAGGATCGTCGAAGAGCTGCAGCTGTGGCACACTCGAGAGCACATGGAGATCATCCTCGTCATCACCGTCGACATCGTTTGTCTTATGGCCGCTGTTATTCACATTACTGTTGCTCTTGCTGTTGGCATTGTGATGCTCCACGCCATCTGCACCCGAGCGCGTGCGGCGGCTCTGCGGCAGCTGCCAAATACCCAAGCGAAACAACCGCAGCAGCCAATGCAGCAGCTGCACCGCATGGATGCAAAGCGTGCGGTGTGTCAACGCCACCGCCTCTTCATCCACCTCTCGTTGCGGTTGTTGCTTCTGATTATGGTGGCAGCCAACCTCCGTCGCATTCCCGGCCATCTTGACGCGCTCGGCCAGCGCTCCCACCGCCCACGCAACCTCCGCCGCGAGCACCTCCACCACACCAGGGGGCACATCGCCGCGGCGCAGGTGGCCGCTGAGTAGCTCTACGCCCTCACTGTCACCATCATCGGCAGCGTCCTCTGGATGAGGCGAAGCGTCTACTGCTNCTGCTGCTGCTGCAACTTCCTCCGTTGAAGAGGAGAGGAACTCGTGCAGAAGCAGCCAATGCCCCTCCGCCGCCTCGCAGACCGCCGCGGGTACATGTCGTTGCGGCGCAATGGCGGCCGCCTCCATGGTACGACGCGACCGTGCGAGCAGCTGCCTCATTCGATACAGTGCCGCCGCATTTCTGCCGCTGCTACCACGACTGTTGGGACTGCTCGTCACCGCACCGGGCCCGCCAGAAGCAAGGGAGTGCTGCCAACCAAGCTCGCTCTCCGTCACGGTGAGGCAGGCGGCCAACACGTGATCCTCTGCCGCACGTAGTGTCTGCAAGAAGAGTGCCGCTGCCGCTGCTGAAGCCGCTGGGGTATCCGTCTCATTGCGCCACACCACACCGCTGTCGTGCGGAAAGAAGCAGACGCCGTGTGCGAGGCCGGCAACCACAAACGCGATGCCCGTCGAGAGGCGCACCGCTGTGGAGGGAAGATCCAACGCCTGTTCCGCCGTAGCAGCAGCTACAGGTGAAGCACCAGAACGGTGAGGCGTCTGTTGTTTCGCATCCGCCGCGCGATGAGAGAGGATGATCTCAGCAGACGTTGCGCCGTAGTGGTGGTAAGATGAGAGGAACTGCAGCATTGCCTGGAAGAGTGTGGCGGAGAGACCGACCTTGGTAGAGTGGCCACCACCACCACCACCAGCAGCAGCAAAAGCGGATGAAGAAGTAGTGGTAGTAGTAGCAGCAGCAGCGAGCAGCGACGTCACCATGACAGGGGACGGCCCGGCATTGCTGCCACCAGTGCTACTGTTGGTGTGTTGAGCACGACTTGTCGTGGCCGTGGATAAACCCGACGCTGACGGTGCCGTTGCCGATGATGACAATAATGGTGTCCCACGCAGAACAACGCGAATTCGTGCCGTGATGGCACCGAAGTGTGCCGCTGCCTGCAAGCGGCCACGCTCCTCGCTCTGCACAAGCAACGGCCACCGCCCCACAACACCGCGCTCCAGCAGCAGCCCCAGCAGCCGGTACACCTGCTCCTTCGGGTAGCGGTCATCGTCGCGCTGCGACGCTGCGGTCGGCATGTAGCGGCGAACAAGCCAGCGGAAGACCTTCTGCTGGCACGCCAGGGAGGCACGCGGGACAACGGCGTGAAGAACCGCCAGCAGCAGTGTCTCCAGGCGCACGCCGTAATATGGAAAGAGTGGCAGCACACTGTGCAGTATCAGCGACGTGCACTGTCCCTCAGTGAAACCGAGCGTCGTGCCAGGCTGTGCGAAGAGGTGCAGGAGAAAGAGCGAGCCGTCCTTGACAAGGTCCTGCACAGCCGCCGCGCTGAGCGAACCGCTGCCAGCCGCGGCTGCTGCTGCTGCCGCCGCCGTTGCTGCGGTATTCGCCTGTACCAAACTATCGGCGTCGTCTTCCACCGCGCGCTCATCGTCGTCCGTTGGACTCTGTGCTGCTGCTGCTGTGCCATGCTTGCTGTCAAAAAAAAGNGATCGGAAAAGCCGAAGCGCCGCATCTCCCGGATGAATGTGCGGCGTACGTGCCCTCCGCCCCGCGTTCTCCCTTTCACCGCTGGCATCATGGGTACTGTTATTGTCCATCTCTTTGTCGTCGTCATCATCGCCGCCGCCGCCGCGCGGACGCTTTTTGTCTTCCCTCACACTCTGCCGCGGGCCCCCCCTATCCACCGGGCTTCCCAGTGCGACCGAAGCACGACCGCCACCACCACTGCTACTACCCGAAGCAGGAGCGGCAACCGATGGGAGCGCCACGTACTCGGCATGCGTGCAGCAGGCAAGATACAGCACAACGACCCCAAAGTCGAACAGCGGGGCAAGTGGCGGGCAGGGAAAGTAGAACAGCTCGCGGCGCGAGACGAGGCTGAACTCACTGCGCAGAACTGTGAAGAGACGCATCATCAGCGGTAGCACTGTCTCATGCAGCAGTGTGAGGAAACGTGGGGAAACTGAGGTAGTACCAATTGCAGTCATTGCGGTTGTTGTTGTCGCCGCCTTTGCTTCCTGCTTCACGAAGCTGCTGTTGTTGTTGTCACGCGTATGGCCTGAGGCCCGTGGGCGGTTGCGCTCAATATCGGCACGCACGCAGTGGCCGAGCACGGTAGAGAAGGAGCCGCATATCTGCGTCGTCATGAGCGTCAGCGCCTCCATGCGCCACCCGTCACGGCGCATTGTGGCATGGAAGCAGTCACAGAGCCGCTTCACCAGCTCCAGCGGCGCTGCTGCAGCAAGCGGGTAGTCATCACGTGCCACAGACGCCAGAAGATTCACCGCGACAAGAAGATGCGCCTCCAAACGCAGCGCACTCGTCGGACGCATGTGGCGCTGCGTCGTCACACGCACAAGTCGCTGCATCACAAACGGCAGCGTTACGCCACTGGTGCTGCCTCTCGCGGGTGCTGATAATAATAATGAGGATGGAAGTGTGGCAGTGTCTTCGCATGGTGTAAAGGCGTTCATTAACTGCGAGGCCCGAAACACCTGCACAAGCAACGCGGCGTACGTTGTGCCCTCCTCCACCGACGGGCAGGGACCCTCACTGTCGTCGCTCTCTGGCGTCACATCATTGATACCGCCAGAGCCACTGTCGCCCTGCATCATGCTCGTGGCGGCAGTTGTGTCACTGTTGTTTGTGTTGGGCTCGTACGAGGTCTGCTCCACGAGCCGCAAGAGCCGAAGCGTCAGCCCCACAATAAACTCTGACTTTAGGTTTGACAGGTAGCCGTCGAACTGCAGGAGATGCAGCAGCAGCTGGGCGTACTCCTGGCCGCAGACACCAACGAGCACCTTTGACTGCAGCACCTCAAGCGCGTGCTGGGTGACGCAAAAGAGCGGAACCGCATTCTTCCACAGCAGCGGCAGCGCTGTCTGATTGGGTGCCATTGCCCACAGCTGTTGTGCTGCATAGAAGCCTCCAGTCCCGCCCACAGATGCTGCTGACGCTGAATGTCCCCCAGGGCGACCCACGAGGGAGGTCGGCACGCCTCCCTCATCCATCTCACCGCTGTGCGTACGATGGGCTCCTCTCGCCCCCATGTGCGTGTCCCCGTTGCCACCGCCGGTGTGGATGTTGCCGCCGCTGCTGATGGTGGTGTTTGTGGTGGCAGCCAGCACGGATGATGACAATGATGACGCACAGGTGAGAAGCGACGACGGCAAGTTCTGGTGAAGCGTCTCCGCGAGCGCACGCCACAACCGCACCACCTCTGTGCGCAGTTTCTTCGCCTTGTTGTTGGCGGTGGTGCGCGAGTCCTCCTCTACCAGTGTCCTTGAATGTGCAGAGGAAGTCTCCAGTCGCCTTCGCGACGCTGCTGTGACGCCGCGGCCCATCCCACGGGTCCCNGTCGACCACCGCCCCCCCGCGGCTGTCTCGCAGTATTGCGTGAGCGCCGGCTTCACCACGCGGTCAAGCACAATAATAATAATATTATTCGCCACGTTCTGACCAAATATATCCTGCACGCTTGTACCACTTTGCTCTGTCACCGTGTCGAGAAACACACAGAGATCCTGCAGCGCCTTCTGTGCCTCCTTCGGGTTTGGCCTCTGCACACCGTTGATAATGGCGGTAAGGCGAGTCCTGAGAGTTGCGGCGTCCTCCATCGTGTATGCGGCGGCTGATCCAGCTGAGGCGCGTGGGGCCGTGTTGAACGCCAATGGTGATGTCTGCATCTTGGCCCGCAACGCCAGGTCGTTTCAGTGGAGTTACGGTACTTCACTTTACGTTAATCCTATCCGTCTTCGTCCTGTCAGTTTCACTCCTGTATGTATGTTACTCTGTGATTGTTTATCCTCTCGTTACTTCCCCTCAGTCTGTCTATGCGTGTGGGTTAAGGACGATTCTTCCGAGGATTCGTCGCCCTCCCCTCCTCCTCCCTGTCCTACCAAATTTAATCGTGTGTCTGTTATTGATGCTCTGTTGTGGTTGGTTTGTGATATCCAAGAGGGTGTCGGTCTGTGTGTGTGTGTGTGTGTGTGTGTGTGTAATGCTGAGCAGGTGCACCCCCAGCGGCCTGCAGCTCGTTTTCTGTATCCCTCGTTCTCTCTTTCTAATACATGCACATACAAGCAGAGGAAGCAGCGGGAGGAAGCAACACCAACAGTGGTGGTAAAACGTACAGAGGAGAATACAGGTGACCGAGAATGTGAGTGTGGCCACTACAAGAGAACAAAAGAGGGCGTAACACAACAACATACCACCGACACGTCAAAAACCGCAGTCATGCTTATCGCGTGGGGTCGGAAACGCGTCGCCGAAGCATCAGCCTCAACAGCACGGGCGTTGTTCAGAGACGTGGATAACCAGACAGAGCATGTTTCCCACCTCAAAGCCAAAACACACACACACGCACACACAGAGAGAGAGAGAAAGGAGAGACTTCACGTCTAGCCAATAATGAAGAAGAGCGAGTAGACCTTCTTCAGTGGGTCCCAGTTGCAGCGGTACTTGCCCTCCTCCTCGTCCGTGTTGCCTGTTCCGCCCCCCGCAGCTGCCGCTGTGCCGTATCCCCACGACGGCATCGTCGGCACCGCTGCGGAGGTGCGCGGCAGCCTTGCAGGGAACTTGAGCGCCACCGTCATGTACCCCTCGCAGGCCACGAGCAGATACACCACATCGTCGTCGGGCGGCCGCTCCATCTCCTGCTCACGCGCCGAGCGCCAGCGGTGCAGCGGCCGTGCGCCCGCAACTGCCTGCGGGAAGAAAAATTCAAGCCACACCTTCGTTTGGAACATCTCCGGGTCGTGCTCGGTGCAGTAGTGAAACTGCGGCTTACCGAACGGTGCGAAGCCAGCAGCCGCGGCAGCAGCGGCGGCCCCGCTGCGACTTCCAGACTGCNCAGTAGTGAAACTGCGGCTTACCGAACGGTGCGAAGCCAGCAGCCGCGGCAGCAGCGGCGGCCCCGCTGCGACTTCCAGACTGCTGCTGCAACAGGAGGTCGCGCGCAGCCTTCTCCTGCTCGGCGCGCCGTATCGCCTCCTTGTTGAGCTCCTCCTCTTCGGCGAGGCGCTCCTCACGCCGTGCATTGCGCTCCATCCGCTCAAGCTGCATCCGATGTGTTTTGCCCGCGAGGTGCTTGAGGAAGTTGTTGTCGTCGGTGCAGCAGATGTCACACAGCGTGCACGTGACGCGGCCCATGTGGTTGCGCTTGTAGTACGGGTCACGCCGCGCCTGGAGCGAGGGATTGAAGGCCTTCACGGACGACATCTTGTCGCTGGGCACACAACAGGCACACGTCCGCTGGGAACCAAAGGGAGAAGTCGCGCCCCCCCACCCCACACGCACTCAGAGAAGAAATATGCACCGCGGCTCCTGCTGCTGCAGCGGTGAATGCGTCACACACGACTTTGTTTCGCCGCACAGCCTAACAATCCGCGTCTTTTTTTTTT